GTGTTGGTTGACAGCCAGCTGAATATGAGACAGCAGCAGTGTGCCCAGGTGGCCAAGAAGGCCAATGGCACCCTGGCTTGTATCAGGAATAGTGTGGCCAGCAAGAGCAGGGAAGCAATCATCCCCCTGTACACAGCACTGACTGGTGAGGCCACACCTCGAATACTGGGTTGTTTTGGGCCCCTCACTAGAAGAACACTGAGGTGCTGAAGCACGTCCAGAGAAGGGCAATGAAGCTGGTGAGGGGTCTGGAGCACAAGTCTGATGAGGAGCAGCTGAGGGAACTGGGGTTGTTTAGCCTGGAGAAGAGGAGGCCAAGGGGAGACCTTATCGCCCTCTACAACTGCCTGACAGGAGGCTGTAGCGAGGTGGGGGTCAGTCTCTTCTCTCAAGTGACAAGCTATAGGACAAGAGGAAACAACCTCATGTTGCGCCAGGGGAGGTTTAGATGGGGTATTAGGGAAAATTTTTTCACCGAAAGGGTTGTCAAGCACTGGACCAGGCTGTTCAGGGAAGTGGCTGAGTCCCCATCCCTGGAGGTGTTTAAAAGTTGGGTAGATGTGGTACTTTGGGACATGGTTTAGTGGGGGGCTTGGCAGTGTTAGGCTAGTGGTTGGACTCAATGATCTTAAGGGTTTTTTTCCAATCTAAATGATTCTATGTTTCTTTAACATGCCTTTGTAAATCTTCCTGATTGTTGACTCTGACAAGGCCCAGTGTTTTTGACAAAGATTTGAAGCAAAACCACACACAGATTTCAAATGGGAACTCTGTGCAGAGCAGTGCACCTGCATAAGAAAACCTTTTTTGGGTAAGGAGGAATCGGACATAGAAGCCAACGATGCTTCTGCCAGTTTAGGAAATCTGAAGGATTGTATATTCAACCAAGGAAACAAACCAAACCCTGCCATCCAATACCACACCCAGAAGGGCTACCTTCTGACCAGATTAAAATTTTGCAGACACTGCAATGAATGGGAGTACCTGACCACTTACTAAAACCATTATCTAGTAAGAAAATCCATTACAAAAGGCTACTGCATTCTCAAACACCATGCCATCAACGCCAGCATCTCTAGACATAAGAATACGAGCTCCCATCTGGCAGGTGCCATCTGGAGCCCTGGGAATCATACCCAATTCTCTCACCATGTTAATAAATCCCACAGCACTTTGCAAGGAAGAAAAGCACTGTTCTGGCTTGCGTAGGGGTGGATCAACTGGCATAGTTTTTGGTTTGGTTTTTTTTTTTTTAGCTTAAACCATCTATCATTTATTTGAAATGAGAGCCCAGAGTACTTTGATAGGAGTCCCTGAAAGGGATTTGGGGAGATGGAAGTTTTCCATTTGAACTTCAAAAGGATCTGATGTTACCCAAGGTGATGGCTGCGATTGTCCCAACATGAAGAAGCAGGGGCAAAGCTCAAAGCTTCTGCAGCTCTTCCCAGGTCCTGCTGAGATGAAGGTACCACCAAACGCTTTTACCTCTGCTGCTGCACACCCTCTCAAGCGTTGTCACAACTAAAGGCTAGGAGAACAGCAGAACACTATCAGGCAGAAACAGTGTGAGAGACATAAACCCCATGACAGCTACTCTGCAAAACAAAGCACAACTCCTTGAGCTAGTGGAGACACAGCCTCAGGAATCAAGAGGGAAAAACGTGGCTCCATTTGACCCTGCAACGTTTTGGTCCAGGAACCACACAGCCGTACTTCCACCATATTGCACTTCAGCTTGTAATGTGCAGTAAGTCTGTGCAGTAAGACTCTTCGTTTTGGAGGAGGCACCTCAGAAGCAAATTTGGGGGCATCTGGCTTGGCTGCTAGTCCAGGTTTAGAGGCCTCTGTCACCAGATCAGACATGTCTTAACATAAGCAGCTAAATTCAGAAGCTGAAAAAAGTGACGTTTTGGTAAGAAATTACAAACAGAAAGTGAAGGACACCAACGGTAAGGAAAAGCTGAGGGTGTTGGAGAAAGCTCTTAGAACAGGAACGGAGGACAATTTTTTATAGTGCAAGAGCCTAATTCAGGCAAGTAAGATAGATAATAATCTGCAGTTAAAGAAAAAATTGTACTTCTAGTTACATTTGAAATTATGGCAACATATGTTGAGTCCTAAATGTACTATAATCTGTTAAGAAACCATCCAGCAGTTTTGAAGAGAACTGGACCATAAATCTAGAAGAATTACCACAAAGCATGTAGAATCCTTTTCTGCTGAACTGATAAAATTCACTTGCAACGCTGATGGGCTTTTTTTTGCAGGTAGTATTTGTTTTATTCCATTTAACATCGATTGCTCTTTAATTAATTTGCTATTAATTCAATACTAATGAACAAATTAGGATTTTTTTAAAAAAGCAAAATGTATTATTCTTTCCTAGCAAAGAAGCAAGAACGAGGCTGTGAGAGGATGATGCCATAACTGATCATGATTTGAATTTTGCATAAGCTAGCACTACCTGGTTACGTTTCACTCGAGAGTCTCCTTCAGCCAGGGTCAGGAGCAGTACTGGAGCCAGCACAACTGGGTTGCTGGGTTTTTCCAGGACAGCAGCATCAATACAGAGTGATCATGAAGTGACAGCCCGAAACCTGTTTCGTTTGGTATAAGAACGGACAATGACCAGAAACCTCCACAGAACTCACTAACTACAGAAGATATCTCATTTATTTAGTCAGTTGATTTTAAATTAATAACATTTGTTAACTTTTTGCATATGTATGCAGCACATTCAGCATAACTTTACAGAACTTGTAACTTTAAAGTGTTGCATTTCATTACTATCAAAATGCAGTTTGACACAAAGTGAGGAGAGAGAAAAAAGAAAACAAATACCAGTCAGCATTTCTAGCGTCATAGTGTAAAAACCAAGAAATCTAAATAATTATCTAACAAGCTTTAAAGGTTTTTAAGTGTGAATACAGTGCACTTTTATGGATAGTCAGAAGGAAGAACCAAATATAACGTAAAGGGTGTACTGAGTTGCAAATCTGTATTTTAAGGGTTACAAATTGAGGAGAATCAACGTTTCCAACAAAAATCCCTATGCCTACGACTTACAATAACCAATAATTTAAATCACCTGTTTAACCTGTATTGCTTTCAATCAGCAACTTCATATAAACTCGATATCCACACTTGAAACAAAGTATGGGAATGGCAAAGTTTCAGACAGTAAAATGCAAACCATAGAATAACAGTTTGAAGACTCTTTAAAAAGCACTCCATACTGAAGAAGCAGGCAGGAGAATGCAAGCTGCTTTGGAATTCTTGTTTAGCCAGTGTATTTCTCAAGCTGCTGGGTAAAAAAAGCAAGGATTTCGGAATCTTATATACTAGGTGTATAAATATTCCTGTTATAGGCCTCAAAGAATTAAGCCATTGTCATGGTTTATCCCAGAGGGCAGCTAAACATCACACAGCTGTTCACTCACTCCCCTCTCAGTGGGATGGGGGAGCAAATCGGAAAAAAAAACAAAAAGATAAAGCTTGTGGGTTGAGATAAAGACAATTTAATAGGTCAAGGAAAAAAAGGGGAAATAATGATGATAGAATATACAAAACAAGTGATGCACAGTGCAATTGCTCACCGATGCCCAGCCAGTTCCTGAGCAGCAGCATGGCCGTGCCCTCCTCCCCCCTACCCTGGCCAACTCTCCCCATTTTTTTGTTCAGCATGATGTCATATGGTCTGGAACACTCCTTCGGCCAGTTTGGGTCAGCTGTCCTGGCTGTGCCCCCTCCCAGCTTCTCGTGCACCTCCAGCCTCCTCGCTGGCAGAAGCTGGGAAGTCCCTGACTAGCGTAAGCACTGCTCAGCAACAATTAAACCATCAGTGAGTTACCAACACTCTTCTCAACCTAAACCCAAAACACAGCACTATGCCAGCTGCTAGGAAGAAAACAAACTCTATCCCAGGCACAACCAGGACAGCCATGAACTCTGTAAAAAACTGACACATATGACAAATTCAGGGTTGTTTGTCTAAGGAACAAGCAAGGGAAGCTAGCTAGGCCCTGAAATTACCATTACTTGGTGCAAGAGAACCCCCACACTAACCAGGATACCAGGTTTTTCCTAGAGCCACAAATAGACGGCAACTGAATTCTGCCCAAACTCAGTAATAAAAAAAAAAAAAAAATCTTGACAAGACAAAGCAGTTACACATAAAAAAGGTAATTTAGCGTCAGTTTAGCCACCCCAGTGTTTAACTATATTTAAGTGTTTTACAATGACAAGTTTTGATTCACAATGTAAATGGCTTTTGAAACTATGTGAGGACAAGCAGTTATAGTAATGATTTGTGAAACTGTATCAAAAGAACATCAAGCACAGACCAAATTCCTTCATTCGCTCCTCAGCACACCATATGAGAGTTTCCAGGAATACCCATCTTTTTTTAACCTCCTCAGAAAACACAGCTGGCCAATCTTAACTGTCTCACCTCGGACATTGACAGTATTACAGGATTTTTTTATTTTTTTTTTCAGTCAAAACTCTTAAATTAAGGGAAATTCTGAAACAAGCTTGGCCACTGACACGTGGAGAGGCACAGCTCAAGGCAAACTATACCACAGTAGTCAAAACACAAATAAAAGAAGGTGCGTAGATGAAAGCAAGTGAAAAGAGGAATGGCAACTGAATGGAAAAAGGCAACTTTCCTCCTCCTGAGTTCCTCACCCCCTACTTCTGCCCTTCTGAAGGCATTCTGCAAGCAGCTGACTATAGGACTCACTTTAAAATTCAATCTGAAATAGAAACAAAGTCTCTTGTTTAAAGTATATGACTTAGTATCTTACATTAAAATATTCCACTTTAAAGGCAGAGCTATGTAAGTATTCCTCAGGCAGTGGCCTGACAAATAATTCCATCCAAAACACTGCTAGTTACAGTCTAGCCTTGCATTAAAACCTGAAATTAAAGCAGAGGCTGATACTGTCAACACATATCAAATCTGCAGAGGCCACCTGCCCTTGTGACCAGCAGCCATACCTAGGCAGTATGGTTGCTCTCTGCAACTTAAACTTAAGTACCCAAACCACATTAATTTCACAGGCTCTTCCTGACTGAAAAAACCGGTATGCCTCAGGCATTGTTCACCAAAAAAATACAAAGAATCAAAGCCTGGTATTTGTCTTGTACTGTGATTACAGAGTAGCAATGGGGCAGTATTAATTAATCAATCTACCCCCCCAAAACCAACTTACAGTTAAATATATTACGAATTGAGAGCTTAACATATCAAAAGTTCAGAAATATCATACCGCTTCAAAAGAGTCACAGCCTATCAGTATAAAGGAAGAATATAAAACTATTTTATTGACCACTGTTCACCAGTATTTACAATAAAGTAAACAATATACAGTCTGATAACATTCAAATTACTACAAAGTTAGTTTTCACCTGGTCTTTGTGGGACCAAGTGATCCCAAATACTAAAAAGAATGATGCTACAGGTTTAAAGGGCTAGGTTTGGGTAAAGAAGACACATGCACATCAATAGTATAGAAGACTACAAAACATCTGTGAGTTTGTTTAGACATTCATTATGATTCTGTAATAACTATGGAAGTTTATGAATGTTTTATAAAAGCTTTTACCTAATATGGAGGAAGTAGTAGTATCAAATGCTCTCTTGTGATAAATGAAACAAGTTGCAGAAAGCTTTTATTTACTTGCTGTTGATGCAAAAACATACTACTTCAAAAAAATATCAAATTTGATTCTTGTTAGAATGTATGCTTCTCACATTGCTAATAAATCAAATTTCAGGTTTTAATATTCATATATATAAAAAAGCAATGCAAACAATTATTGTGCTTCATCTTCTGGGCATGAATGCCAAGTTAGTCGCTCTTCATAAAAAGCGATTACGATCTGAGGACACTTCACGTTAGCTTCTTTGGCCAGGACCAGATCTGCCTCGTCAGAGTCTTTCCTGATGTAGAAGAGAGTGGGATTTAAGAAAATGCACAATCATTAATTCAGTAAATTTAGCAGCTCTTGACAGGTCGTAAGTTCTGAAAAGAATGTCAGCTAGAAATCAGTTTTCCATATACCTTTCACTATAGCTACCAAGCATTCCCATGCTAATGGCAAGGTTTCACAGCTGTATCTTCCTTCCCTTCCCATGTTTTTTTCTGTTTGAAAGGAAAACACTATTCAAAGGGAACCATTTTATACAGTTACCTATTGCAGTATGTAATGAAAGAAGTAAAACTTTGCTAAAGCATAATCAAAACTTCAAACTGAGACTTAAAAATCAATAGCTTGAGTCTTAAGAGGTGGTACTTACATCCAAATTATGTTTACTGTTTATGCAAGTAACTTGCTGTATTTCATACTGCTATTCTTGATGCTGTCTTGGGGTAATAAAACAAACTTTCCAGTCTGACATGTGTCAGGTTCCATTTTAAAGTGTATGCTGCCTTTACAAGTCAGTTTTGTGCATACATATTCATACCTATGTTTGTTGCCTACCATCAATTATGAAAAAATAATCAACTGCAACTGAACTAAAAAAAAAAGCTTCTTTTTGTATGTTTCCTTTGTGTTTGATTTTGCCAATTACCACTACAGAAATTCAAATAGTCACAATCTATATTTTGCGACTCAGAATTCTAAGTTTCACATAACATTTGTAGAGTGTTTGAAAAGGCAGAAGGGAGGCAGAATCTTCCAAAGCATAGATCTTCAGCAGTCCAGGCACATCATATGACAAATCATTTCTCTAGAGGCCACTCAGTTTGACTCCATTCAGAAAATTATGCCCTCTTGAAGGTCGTGGAAAGCTATCCTTCCTCTCACCCCACCACCATAAGAAATCTGACCCCCAGCAAATGTTAATTCAATCTCTTGTATTCTTAACACTGGAAAAAAAATTCAATTTTATCCTACTTTTCACTGAGAAGTCACAGGAAGTCTCCTGTCAACCCTGTAGCTGATGAAGCTGGTCTCCCTCTGCCCTTCCAACAATGCAAACTCCCTTATCACTCTCCCCTCTTACGAGCCCTTAATGATACACCTCTCCTTCATATTGTCTGTTCTTCATCTCAAGCTCAGCTTCCTCCACTAGTTCCTTCCAATCCTCTAACCACTTGGTTGCACGCAGAACAGCTGGCACCATGCTTGTTTAAAAGGTTGGCTATCCAGCAGCTGGCTTCTGCTTACTGAAACATGTAAAGCTGGAGCTCTGCCTGCCATTCCCTCAGCAAGAATGTTACTGAGATCCAGCTTTTTCCCATACAAATGCCAATTCTTCTGTATTTTATCACAATTCACCTTTCAAATTTCTACTTCTGTAAAACCAAACCAATAGAACCTATTTTGGTTTTGGAAGGAAAAGGGAGTAAGTACTAACTGATTATACAAGATTTGTTTTTCTAAGAATACAACATTAATAAGGAGATCACCAGCTGTCTTACCCCTGAAATGAAGCTGTCTCATTAACCTAAGTGCAACTGCCTGCCCCCCCTTAATACAGACCAGAACTGTGGGTGTAAGACTTACCATTTCATGAGGAACATAAGCTCGCCACTGCTATCCGTAGCCCCAATTATCCGCTCAGGATCAAGACCCCTTGCAAACCCTCTTGGTTTATCAACCTATTGAGTAAGTTAGAAGACTGTTACCTAGTTTAAGATAAAATTCTGTTTTGGCATTAGAGCTAGATACATGCATTCTGATGTATACGTGTATGTGTACATCAGAACAAAATATATAGCCTTACGTAATTATAAAAGCTGTAATTACATTTAATTGTCTGAAAATGACACTAATTAGCTGTAGAGTAATAATGAAGGAATTTTACATCAATGCTGCTAGCATTTATTTCTGAGAACTCAATAGATGAAACAAGTGATCTAAAAATCCTTATAGTAAATAAACAAGCATGGGCAGTAAAAGCAACAAAAAAGGCAAAGCAAAAATGCACTCCCCGAAGTGGGAAAAACACATCCTTTTCAGCAGAACAAGAGACTTGGGTTGGCTTCAGCCAACTGTGAAACTGCACCCTTGGGGAATACTTCAACTCTTCTTGGCTCACTGAGATTGCACTGGTGGTAAGGAATATCACGATTAATTTCAGTATTAGTTCCTCTAGTTTCACGGTATCCTTTTTGAGACAGTGGCCACTACTGTACCAGATGAAGACACACAATTGACTTTATACAGAAACTGAAATATTCCCCGTATTGATCAACTGTTCTTTCTGATGCCTTCCAACTTTTTAGACAGGAACCACACATCCAACGGCTGTTTTCAGTAAACCATCGACATTGCCCCAGTTTAATTTCAAATTGCTAGTTTGAAAGTTTACAGAGAAAAATGTGAACTATTGAGCACATTATTGTATGTGCATTATTTTGTACTTATCAGCACTAAATTCATTTGAATTGTAGGAGAAACCCAGATCTTTAAAAAAAGGTAGGCTTTTTTCAGTCACCCTTTCTACTCCCTCTCCACCATCATGTCTGGTCCTAATCTAAGTAACTGCCTAGTCTTCACATTTTGCCATCTTGCCACTCACCTATTTAAAATCATACTAAATACGAAAGCCAAACCAGAACTTCACCTTTGTTCATTCATGAACCTTTTGCTCCAATACAAACTGACCACTTAATATCATTCATAAATAACTCCTAACCAGTCTTACTTTCAGTCATTCAGTAAGAATTATGGGACAATGCAAGAACTTCTAGTCATCATGTCAATCAATCATCTTTTACGCACCATTTGGATAGTCTCATTAACCATCATGGATGACTACCCTTTCCAAAAAACAGTTCCAGGTGCTGCGCGATTTTTACAGTTTTAAACCCATGTTTGGTCTCACTCCCAAAGTCACAACAGGGGTGGGGATGGAGAGGTAGGGAAGAGACACAGGAAAAACAAAGCTTAGCACATGAACATATACTTACAGAATCACGTTTTTTCTTTGATTTACTATCATCGGATTCGCTATCTGACAAAGATTTTCTTTTGGCACCATCTGTTTTTTCTTTACCAGCTTTCTGAGAGTTCAGGAAAGCTTCGATTAGCTCTGGACAATCTAAGTTTTCTTCAGGTTCCCATGTGTTGTCAGCACTGAAACATACACATATTTACATAAAACTAGGAAAAGAAGAAAAATGTAGAACTAGCCACATCGCTCACCTTAAGAAAGTTCAGGGTTTTCTCATTATGTAAGGCAGATTTCTTAAACCTAAGGATGTTTATCTTGCCATCTTTAGTAACCTTCATGTACAGCATTTGATGACTGAAAGAAGTATGCTCTGCTATTGTTGAAAACCAATGTTCTTAAACTGGAGATACAGAATAAGCAGCTCTATTAACTCCCATGATCTGGGTAGGATCATAGGAGTTAAAACAAGCAATCCCCACCCTACCAAACCCTACCTGTCCATTTAAAATGACTCCCTTCCCCGGTTCTTCTAAAGACTGTCCATGGAAACAAGCCATATGATATGAGCACTAAGACTTACAGAGAACAGAACGTACACAACACTCGCTACAGCGTAAGTATATACGTCTAAGCTTCTATATAAGAAGAAAGCTCTCAAAAGTTGTCTGAGAGCACTGAGATCAACTATACCTAGAACTATCCCCCTCCTTCAGCTAACTACATGAGGGATCAAAGGTCCCATGTCCAGAGTTGAGCACTGCAAATGTTCCATTGAGCGTGCATTTTGTTAACTAAAATTTTAAGAGGTCCATGAATGTTCCCTGCAGCAACTAAGCACCTCATCAGAAGTCCTCACACACAAATACTGCCACAGCGCTACTGCACAAGCAGGATGCCTACAAATTACTTTCAGTTACTAAAACATATTTTTGCAACTTCAAATCAGACCCTCAAAATACTAAACCCACTGCGTTTTGCATTTATGCATTTATCACTACACAAATTGTACGTGCTAGAATGCAGAACGTTGCAATGCAATCATTACTTTGGGAGGTATGCAACAATAATACAACTGCGTATGTAACTATATTCAAATGCTAGGTACATCTCACTTTTTCAGCTAGTAAAGCAGTCTGCCAGAAAGTGTCACGGGAGGGTGGGAGGAGGCACAATTATGTGCCTTCTTTAACAATCAGCTTTTTAAGTCCACTGCAAGGTTTTCTTGTGCTTCCTTAAGCCCTGGGAAAGAGACTCAAAAGATACCTTTCGGGTATGCCTAATGAAGGCAACCATGCCACAGAATTCCTTATGCAAATTCATCTAATTTGAGAGCAGTTCATGGAAGCAAATAACAAGCAACCTATCTGCTTCAAACTTCAGACTTGCCTACAGTTTAAATTCCTGCAAAATTTCTTACTCAGAATTAATGTTCATTCCACCACCTATATAAATGTAGCAACTGTCAGTCTAGCTTACCTTGATAGATACTGACACAAGCTACATCAAAAAACAGTGGTAAAAGAACGATCACTAAGGACTTGGTAAAAGTCTTGGAACGTTTTATGTAGCACAAACACTAAGGGGTACATATCTTCTATTTTATTTTCATACTTGACTGCCCCACTTGAATATGCATTTATGGATGTCCTTCCCTTGACATTCTTTAAAATATATCCCCATCATCCAATCCCCTCTCTGCATAGTTATTTCAAATAAATGGTTAGTATTTAGCATTTATCAGAAAAAAATAATAGGTAATGCCTTACTCCGTAAATCCTTTCCACTTCAAGTAGTATTCCACCTTTCCATTTACAACACGTCTGTCCAGGACTTTCTCCACAACAAATTCTTCAGGCTCTGCCTCTTCAACTTTTTTACCTTTGCCATTCTGTTTCTTTCCCATTTTGTGCTACAAAAGAAATTCAAAATGACATTATTCATTCTTTTGCTTTACACAGTTACTTCACTGGCCAAATCCAACTTTGCTCAGTAAACAGCAAAGAATTGTGTACTTATTCACACTAAAGCCAGAAGCTCAGACTCCTTTTACGTTAGTGCATGTGGTCAGGTAACCTGAGCAAGACACGTTAATGTTTTGGGTTTTTTCAGTTGCTTTATGAGATACCCAACACCCATTTTTAAAAAGGTGAAATATTTTTGCCCACACACTCAGTGCCTCCACTCCCCTTATAAATTTAATTCTCAGTGATACATGCTCAAAAATTTATGAAGCTTCTAAAAGTTAACTCTATGCCTGTGAAAAGGCAGAGGGCAAGAAATAGCATAAGGCAGAAGTAAAGAAAAGCAGTAAGGGAACTGTGAAAATGCATAAAATAGAAAAGGAATGCTACTCAAAAAAAGGTGGTTACTACCTTTTCCAAAAAAAGGAGAAGCTAATGGGAGCAAAGTTTATGATGTATTGCTACTGTAAGCAAAACACTCAACAATAACCCGTAACTATTGAACAGGATGCATGCTAGGAGCATTCCATTACTGCAGCCCCTTCTCATTCTTAGCCACGCACCAATGTAACTTACATTCAAACAGATGTCACAAAGGTGCAAAAATGTAAGGACAGCTACACTTAAGTACAGCACTTAACACGTAAATGAAATTTTGCTAACTTAAAAGACTTTATAAGTGTTTTAAGTTTACATTTGATACTTCAAATAATATTCTTTAAGTTCTTAAAATAAATATTACATCCACATCATCCTCAAGGCATTCCCAGTTTAATAAGGCACAATTAAATAGTAATAGAAGGACACATTTCAGAATTTCCTTGTTTGTAATCTTAAAAAGGTTGGAACAAGCCTATCATGTTATTGTATCATATTTCTGGAGCACTAGCAGATCAAAAGCGGTTTGCTTGCCATTTTGGACCGCACCTTATAAGGAAATTGTTAAAGTGGCAGCCATAAACTAATGAGAGCAGTATTAAGCTCCTAAAACATATAATCATGCAGCACCCTAAATCAAAGTGGACAGAACTAACTGCGCTTCCTATAGAACAGAAAACAGTCAAGCAAAAATCACAGAGCACCTCTATTTGCTTGATGGCCTTTCTCTAGTCCTGTCCAGAATTAATGCAGGTTAGTTTGAGAATACCGCAAAGCAATTTTGAAACTCAAATTTTTAGACTTTGCAGAATTTTGTCTTGATGTGTTGACAGGTTAAAAAAAAGTATCTTAAGACACAAGAACTGTCTTCTTTTTGTAAACTGAAGATTTGAAGCTGACTCTTTCTTTCCAAAACCCTGTCTTTGTGTCCCTTATTCTTCAGAATTAATTTTTCCCTCCCTCCCCAAAATAGCTTTATTCTGGTTAGCAACCCATAAATTGATGATGCAAACAACGAAGACCAGGAAAAGTTTCCAATTTCTCTCTCAAACAGCAAGTTTCTGTGTATGATTACATCTCACGTGACATTTGTTTTGACTTGGAAGCATAGAAGAGAGATTATCTAATACAGAGCATGTATTTCCAATTATATTTTAACTGCCTGCATATCCCAGGTGTATTGTGACCACAGCATTCATGTCTGAAAAGTGTCAACGTAAGCACACTGGCTTTTTTTGCCTCCACAGGAAAAAGAATGTAAGACTGAAATTGAAGGAAAATAAAAACATGAAGATGTCCAACTCTTCTATGAAGGCAGCTTCTTTCAAGAAATGGAGGTGTGAAAAAGAGAAACGGGTAGAGATGAGGAAAACAAACAAAAAAAGAAGCGGAAGGGGGGGAAAAAAAAAAAAAAAAGACACAGACTCACTATACCATAGTAATAACATTATAATTACTGGTGATGAGGCAAGCAGGCTACAAGTGGGGAACATCTCCATCTGTGTTCTCCGTTGGACTAAAATTCTTTGATTCAATGGAAGACTGTTTTCTGGTACTCTTTTCGGCTTCACTAATTCTTGTCACTTAAAGATAAACGTTTTGGATTTCTGTATCAAAACAAGATTTTTTTTTTCCTTTCTAAGACTTAAGTATCTACAGAATCTCCCACAGAAGAAAATGAGTGCTATGGAGGTCTGTATTTTTTTCTTGAATGCAGCAAGAAATAATAAAACTGAGAATATGTGCCTTTTTGTTTTAAATGCTAGAGATCTAATTGGGTCTCGTGTGGATCAGCACTGCTTTCCAAACTCTTGAGCCTTTCCAACCTATTAAAATAATACTTGATTGCAGACCCTGCAGAAATACCGAACATTTGTTAAAAACCTGTACATTGTGAGATTACACAAGCAATGTAAATCCTGGCCCACAAGTGAACGTGGTAGCTGACTGAAGTTAAAGGGTACTAAACGTCCAGTAGACCCCTGAAGCTCCCTCCTCTAGCATTGGTTGTTGTAAGCTGTAACTTGGGCATTTGACCACTGAATGCTCATCTATGGCTCGTTTCCCTTTCTGCATTCAGAAGTCACATATGACAGATGCAGATGCTCTCCAGTGGATAATCACTCTTTCTTTGAGGGGCAAGATTAAAACACTGATGCGACACTGTGGTGAAGGGTTTTAACATACAAGAGGTAACAAAATCGGAATTACAGTTCCAGAGCTATGCTATCCCTTAATACATTTAGATTTTGCATGCAAATACATAATGAAGCAGAATTAGTTATGGTTCCCATGGGAACCATAACTGATTTTCCTGACCTGCGCAGCAAAATTCTCAACAAAAATCAAAATATTAAAAATACTGCATTCACAGATTCTTTCCTCTCCCTGAGGCACCCCCCTCCTCAGGCTAACTCCTTCTCTTACTCAAATTAGGGAAAAGTGGGCAATCAATTACTAACAGAAGGTTGACATTCACCTTGGTGAAATCTTTTAAAATAAGTTTGTTATCGTACAATACAAAGGAAGCAGTCCATTGCACTTCTAAGCCAAGAATACAAGTTTTTAATATATCTCAATCTGGGTCAACCAGTAATCATTTCAGTAAATTTAATAACGGGCCTTTTGAGTGCGTTATAAATCAGTTGTTCTGCTATCCAAATTTTGAACTGTACACATGTATTTTTGCCTACTTCCCCGCCTCAACCTCAGATGCATCTCACACTACACTTTTTCAGTTCTGTCTTTCACAAAACTATATGTCATTACTAGTTGAATGGTAACCAGCAACCAACTACCCTTAGAAGTGCATATTTTAATGTCAAGCAAAGCTTTACAGGACTTGAGATCCATGAATGCATCATTAAAATGGTCCAGGAGGGGTTGACATCTGATAATCTCTGCTCCTATGAAATTCAAAGAAACTGTTATTTGTTAAAAATCATTTCAAAAGGCATCTTAACTACGCCACATCATTTCCCAATAATGTTATTTTTCATCTGTAAAGACTGCCTTTTCTCAGACAATTACTTTTCCCAAATACACTGGGAGCAATTAAATCAGTACTGTGATTTGGATTTTATTTTTTACATATATGATGAGTTACACGGTGTGGTGAGAGGAGCCTTAAAAAAAAAAAAAAAAAAAAAAAAAAAAAAGTCCTCAGTGCTTTCTACTGTAGGGCAGATGAAATACTGCAAGAGTCCTTTAATATTTTTTTCCCAACAAGCCTCTTTAAGAAATGGCAGATTTATTAAAGCCAAAGACAATGTCCTTTCTAGTAGCCTTACTTTCTGGATCTGAAATTTTGGTCAGAATAATGCTGGGGAGGGGAGATGTGGATGTATCTTTTAAATGGAGATGCCAAGTTATAAGTTTGAAGAAAAATATGTTGATTAAATCCTTATATACTTTAGGTGTGCATGAACTTACCAATGTAGTTTTATTGGAGGCCATTTTTATTGCAGACTTGCAGAGCTTTTACTAGAAAAATGCATGACAATTAAAAGGAAGTTTACATTACTCAAAGAAAGGCATCCCAATACAAGCATGGTCCTTGTTCCAACCCCCATGTATTCACTGCATATAACATTTCTAATATGGATTAAATCCAGAACAGAAAGTAGGTTACTACTTTGTCCGGCATAACCCAGTAACGCACCATTATGCTAGCCAGGATAAATGATACTGACAAAGTGGTATACAGGATTGAAAAAAGGTTTTTCCCAAGGCCTTCTAAGGCACAGAGGCGTTTCTAGGGAAAAGGGGGAGGACCATCAGGGATGCTTATTTCCTTAAACCCAATAGAACAGGAGTTCAGATCCTAGCAGTTAATCAAGATATACCTAGGTATATTAACTGCGAATCTGGCAGGGAGCAGCTACATATCTGCGGTGTAATAGTGAGTCACCCATTACTCTTACTTTGTAGTAAATGCTTATAAACAGCAAATATTTATCTTAATGCAACTCTAACGTTGCCTTCCGATTCTCAAGTTTTCAAGAGTTAAGGTCCTAGAGCAACATTAACTCAGCTAAGCTGTGCATACTACGTATTTAACCTACCCAAATGATGCTGAACACAATCCATCCCCTTTTCCATGTCATTTCTCATACCGGCCACCTCCTTAGGCATGTATTATCCCCGCCCCACTGCAAACTATAGAACTGTTAGAATTCCCCATATGCCTGGGCAAGGCAAAAGAAAAAGTCCTTCAAGGCCAGAAAACCTGCCGGACTCAGCAATCCCACCCAATTCTCCCCTGACACGGGAGGGGGATTTTGGCAGTCCCATAGGCGGTGGGGTAGGTGAGGTGGGAGGAGGGCAGGGACGAGGGCCCCAGCGCAGAGGGGCTTGTCTTGTCCCCGTTTGAACGGCGAGAAAGGGGGAAAAGAATCAACAGCAGTAATAACAAAACCCCCCCGCCG